TTGGCATGAGGGTATGCAAACCCAGACCGGGGACTCGCTCACATAGGTGGCGTTAGGCCTCCTGGCTGGTGGCCTCGGGGTCATCGTAACCAATAGATACACTGAGTGAAACGGTCTGTCGTAAACAATGGTGCTCATGCATCTACTCAATTTCTTTGCAATCCCGGTCTGCCTAAATTCTCTATCTTCGGACTAACACTGCTTCCAGCTGCCAGTCTTCTCTCTGCTCCTTCATCCAAAATGGATTGCCAAAAAAGAGCAACCAGAACAGCCACACGAAAGGGCGTGGTTAACGGCTGCATAAACTAAAACCTACCCTGTGTGAGTGTTCATTGCTTGAAAGTTGCCGAATTGGTCTCTGTAAATAGAATCATGGAAACTCTGTTGGATATTTAAAATAGTGTGGTATGTAAACCAACGATCGGAATGGCTTATACATTGTTCTGTGAATTAATGTATTCAAATCGCAACACTACCCTGGTGATCTATTGGTATATCTATCCTTATCCCTTAACTGGCTTATGGTTTTTTCAGTCTATGCGTCCATTAGACTTACACTTCCGTACACTGATTTGGGCAAGGAGGAGCAAGCTGATACCAGTAGTAAGACAATGATACCGCATGAGACTGAATTCGATTTGCGTAGGTGGTGAGTGGATGTACGAGCGTCATTGTTTACGGTACAGCCAAATTTCATCAAGTGTCTCTAACCATTGGCGGAGCTGATCACATACTCCCTAACTAAGTAACCTAACGCGATCTCACTATCAAAATCTTCTGGTGAGTATTTCATACCTTCGCTCCAAATAATAGTCTAAATACCACTGGCTATGTTAGAACTAATGTTCTTCTTCGCGAATGACGAGCATTACTGATTTGTACAGAGAGTTTTAAAAAAAGACCATCAACTTGCTATGGCTTTTCATTCGCTTACGATGTTATCGTGCTCATGCGCCGTTGCTTGTTAGGTGCCCACGTTTGGTTTCTCATCGGGTTCATCTTCAATCACTTCATTTCAGTGCCTTTCTCCCTCACTCTCTGACTGTATTTGCTTCACGTTTTTCCGTATTTCAGATATTGAATGGCGGTCAACAAAGCTCACCCGCATCAATTGGAATAAAGTTATTTATGGCCAAGGTAAGGCTATCCTGGGACCGTTCGTTCGAACTTATATGCTCCCGTATTTTGAAATCAATTATACACACAACATTCAATTAACCTGTTACCGACCACATTATTGGTTATATTACGAATTTTTCTATCACGATTCACAATTCTGCGAACACTGCGAGTGGACAAGCATGCTCCAATCGCTGTAGACGATTTTCCTCCAGGAGGAATTTAAAGTATTCTGACCTATCGCAATCAAACTAATGTTTTTTTTATCGTTCAGCTTAGTTTACATCTATTGTATGTCATATTTGTCTACTCCCGAACTGGTAAACAAATCATAGCAAGATACTTCTACTAGCAACTGAAGCCTTTATGAAGTTATCTAGGGGCAAACCTGATGCATAAATAACGCATTTCATTGGGTGTTGGAGTCAGTGCAACGCGGTTCAGACGTCTAAAATGGCCATAAACCCTACTACTGACTGGTGCCGGTGACCATTGCCCTGGTTATATCATCGGTTTGTCTTCACACCGGAATTTACACTCCTCGCCATGGCCAGGGATCGTCGATCATTGGTACCATACTGTCTCCATTTTCAACTTCACCGTTTTCTAATGTCTGAAAGACTACTTTCCAACTGTTGTCAACCTTGTTTTTCATGTAAATAATTTTGCTGTTGAAGGAAAACTAGATTTGGATTAAAATGACTAATATTTTGCACTTTGTTTTTCGTCTTCAGTGAACAAGGCTAAACATAGAACAATAAAGGGATCGATAGGGACGAGAAAATGAAAAAAACAAAGTGCCCTAACCCCACTGGTCGTAATACACATTCATGTTCCCCGGATATTTCCGCCATAATAATGTGCATTTCCCCTGGAAAACAATTCCATCTCTAATTTGTATTTCATGACCGGGATTCTGTGTGATCATCGTTCCGAATTCGGCGTTTTAATTACTTGAACTCCCCATGTACCCCTTAGATAATCGACAGTTGCAAGCAGATACTGGTACACCGTCGGCCTTCTCTTTAGCGAACGGTCTCCTCGTTCAATCTACTCATCCTATCTCTGGGTCTTTCGATGGAACCGGCACCGACTTCACACTTCCCTTGTGGATGAATCCCACTCCAGTAGATTGGACTCAGTCAGAGTGGTCAGAAAAAATCATGAACCGTTTTACCACAGGCCAGTGGGAAGCTCATGAAGACGCACAAACGCTACTGAATACTGATGCGGCGGCTAGAGCTAGTTTGGCTGCAACGGAGACAATGAAGCACGCGATTGCCACCGCTTCCCGTACTCAGTACAAAGGTGTAGCCGAGTCACATGCTGATGATGTGGATATGGAGAAAAATGGCGTCTCCGATGATGATTTCAATACAGATGATAATGATGATGATGCCGATGACGATTATGATGAGGACGAAGATGATGACTCCGATCGCTCTGTGGATCACGGAAGCGCGGATGAGGCTGCGGGTACGGATCCACTGGAAGAATATGAAAAAGTATGACCTTGTAGGATCTTTAGGTACCTGCCGTGACACATCTGTTTTGTATACTTTTACCATCGACATCAATGCTTATACACATTGATGAAAGTTTTTAACTTGAACTGATCGCTGGAGCAAAGCCGTGTGATTATGTGGTTATTTGTAAGGCTCTGGGTTCCAGTTGGTGTGGGCTAATTGGATTTAACCTCTGACTGCTCAGATGAAGTATTTTTCCGTAAATTGCAGAATTTTATATCGTTCAACGCAAATATGTGTTTATATCAGTAGATCCTTATTATTTGATGCCCTTTACCATTAGTGAACACCGACATCAGATTTTCCAGTGGCCTAGATATTCCTTCATATTGGTTCATGCCGTTCCACCACATACTTGTCATCGTCGGAAGAAGTTTTGGATGAATATTGACTTCTAAACAGGGCGAAGTATTTCTGTATGCACCTGATTGTTTATTTGTTTGGAATTGACGTTAGAACACTGTGATCACACTTTAATCAGCTTGAAAGTTTAAACTTTTTGACAGAATATTCGTTAGGCAGGTAAACCCCAATGCGTACATGAAATAAAAATAATTTCATACTGCATTGGTCGTCGCGCAGGATGATCAAGACCGCGCTGCCCATAGCATCGAGCGGGATGGATAGCGATAAGTGGGCTACTGCTCAGATATCCCAACCTTTGTTTAATTCTTTGTCTTCCGTACACAATCCTCTCCATTTTCCCCTTCCTCCGATCTGTAATAGTCCCTCAAGCAAATTAGATGTCGCTCGCCAAAGGTCGTTGCCAAATAGCACTGTAAGTAATGTATCTCGAAACGAATTGCAGATTATAGAGCCTCGTCAATCACTAAATCCGGGGGCCTTCAACGTGAGGACTTTGATGCAGCTAGGTCAACAAGCTTGTCTGGCGCGTACAGTGGAATCTTTGGGAATCGATATTTGCTGCATGTCGGAGACTCGTATCCAGGATCCTACTACTATAAGCCACTTGAGCGCGCCAGATTTGTTTTCGAGGTATGCTCTTCGCACATCAGGTGACGACGAAGCCCGCCCAGTGGGTCAGCGCGGAGTAGTTATTGTACTCAGTAACAGGGCGGAGTCCTCTCTAATCGATTGGATCCCCGTCAACAGTCGTTTATGTGCAGTGCGTCTCCAGGGTTCAATCTGCGTCCGGAAGGGAAGCAACACCAAACGGTGTTTGTTCATCGTATCAGCATATGCATCGACCAATTGCAGTTCTGATACCCAAAGGGACGCCTTCTAAGATGACCTCACCGATCTCATTCGGATAAGTCAAAGCTCCGACATAGTTGTACTTGCAGGTCATTTCAACGCGCAGGTTGGAAAAATGGGCGCATTAGAAGCTTGGCTAGGCGGTAGCTGTGCTCTGCCCTGCCAACGAACAGATAACGGCGATTGACTTCTCCAGTTCTGCGCAGACCATCATCTGTTCCTATCAAGCACCAACTTTCGACATAGCTCTCGACGGACGGAAACGTGGCCTTCCAGTTCGACTGGTACGTTAACTCAAATCGACTGCATAGCAGTAAGTTATCGTTGGCGTGGTTCAGTGCAAAATTGCAGGTCCTATTGGACCACCTTCGTGGAGTCTGATCACGCATTAGTTTTGATGCAGTTCACTCTTCGGTTGACTGGTTGATGAAAAAACCAGCAAACTCGGATAGCTCGTCATTGACTTTCTGTTCCAGCCGTTCGTGCACGCTGAGTCAGAACTAGTGCGTGAGCTAAGCGCGCCTCAACGTGATGATTTAAGCAGTAGGATCAGATTAGGCGAGCAATTCATTCCGCTGTGAATGTTGCTTGTGGGACTGAGCCTCAAGTCCAACGGAGGCATTGGATATCTGATGAGTCTGTGGCACTGGTGGATCAAAAACGACAAATCCCGACCTGCCAGGATCAAAACAAAGTTAGGAGGTATCTATAACGTAAGCTCACGAAGAGCCTCAAGAAGGACCGTGAGAACTCTTGGGCAACAATAGGTAATGAAATGGAAGTAGCAGGGAATAGTCAAGGACTGTTCCGACTGATACGCAATACGGGAGGTCGGCGAACTCCAGTTAGTGAAACAATCTGCGATAAGAGGGGACAAGCTATTCACAATAGGAATCAACGACTCGATCGCTGGTCAGAATACTTCAGCGAACAGTTCAGCTGGTCTAGTGCTAACCAGGCTGCTTCATCTACAACTGAGGCTCCGTGGGCAGTGTCATCCGAACCTCCTACTGCAACAAAATTTCGTTCTTGCATTCAAGCTCTGGAGCGAGGAAAGGCAGCAGGACCGGATGAGCTCCCTCCCACTCTTTTCAAGACGGGGCTGATAACCTTGTAAGCTCTATTACTACCCTACTGCGCAACATTTGGATACAAGAACACATTCCTTCATCTTGGGACGAATCACTGATCCTTCCCGTTTCTAAGAAAGGATCTCGCAGGGACTGTGAAAACCACCGCGGGATAAGTTTGATCCCGATCATCACCAAAGTGCTAGTTTCGGTTATACTTCGACGTCTGACAGCTTCAAGAGAGACCAACATCCGTGATCAGCAAGCCGGCTTGGCCGTGAATGTATTGATCAAAATTTGACGTTGCGTCAGATCCTTGAGCTGCGCCACACCCACCGTCGACCAACGGTTGTCGTGTTCCTTGACCTGAAAGAAGCCTTCGACTCAGTTGACCGCGAAGCTCTAATGAGCTCGCTTCTCCGAAAAGGAATGCCCTAGAAGTACGTTGACCTACTGAAGTCACTGTACTCACAGACTTCCGGTCGTGTAACGGTTTACAAGAATCTAAGTGGGCCATTCGTCACCAGCAGCGGCGTCCGCCAAGGGTGCCCTGTTTCGCCGTTCCTGTTCCATTTCGTCGTAGACGAAATACTGGAGAATGCACTAAGTGGACTCCAAAACGTAGGTGTTGAGTGGGCAGATGGATAAAAGCTGTGCGATTTAGAGTACGCCGATGACATAGTCTGTCTGTTCGAATGAATGGAGGACGCGCAAAACGCACCTGATGCACTGACAAGTGCAGTAGCCAAATTCGGAATGTGCTTTGCACCTTCAAAGTGCAAAGTGATGCTGCAGGACTGAGTTTTGTCTGCTCCCGTTCTGAAACTAAATGGCCAGAATTTAATTGTGGTGGATTACTTTTCCTACTTAGGCAATTGCGCAAACATTGATAGTAGTGCAGCGAAGGAGATAACCGCCCGATTTTCAAGGCTCGAACAGCATAAGCAGGACTGAAATACCTTTGGCGTAGATGCGACGTTTCATTGAAGTTAAAAGGTCGTGCATATTGTGCTAGCGTTCGTTCAGTCCTGATTTATGGTTTTGAGGCCCTGAATTTACGAGTAGAAGATATCCGTTGACTAGAAGTTTTCGATTATCAGTGTTTACGTAGTTTAGCCCACGTTGGATGGAGAGAACGGGTTAGTAACGCGGAAGTAAGCCGTCGTGTGTTTGAGGGTCTATCAGGTATAAACCTGTTGGCACACCGAATTCAGATTAGTGGACTTCGCTGGCTAGGGCACTTATTGCGTATGTCCAGCTGTCGTCTGCCGCACCGCGCCTTATTTGCTGTAGCTTATCCGGACTGGAGGAAACCGCGTGGAGGTTAACAGATGACGTGGAGACGAAGAAGAAATGCACAGAGCCATTAGGTAGAGTAGGCGTCTCTCGCCTTCCAGGTTGGGGTCCTAGAGACTCCACAATTGGTTGGTTGGATACATTGAAGGATATGGTAGCGAACCGGCTACGGTGGCGTTCTTGTTGTCGTTTCTTATCAGGCCGGAATGCTTGAAACGATATGTATGCAGGGTTCGATTGTGCACTCTGTGTGTTACCATAAAGGTTCACCTTCTTTCCCCTCCCTCAAAAATAGGTCCAATCCCTGTTCACCTTAAATTTTACGACTAACCTTGAATGCATTGCGAATTGGGCAGCGATCAGTGAAGTTCGCCTCACTGTATCTCGCTATACGATGATGATGATGAAGATGATAGGCAGGTAAATGTCATCTTTTTTTATCTGCAGGTAGCATTATGTCTATACCTGGAGTAGTTTGTTTAAACTATACTGTGCTATTTCTCTTGATCCCAGCGACTCCTGCAACCGACCAAACGTCAGAAGCTACTTGAGAAGCGGAAGCGACACAGGGAGCTCTTTAACAATCTGTACGAAGCAGCTGGCGGTGGCCCGCAAGCTACGGCATTCTATGACAAATTGGTGGCTGCCAAGGAAGCTCAAATGAAGGCCAACAAGTTGGTGCTTGAAAGTTTACCCGAGGAAGTGATAGAGAAGTTGGAAGGTTTCCCACCGGGTGCCTATGTTCGACTTATGTTCAAGGGTAATTGTCATTTTTGATCTGCTCTAGGTTCGAATAATGGGCGTTTGTCGGTTTCTCTGCTTCATTTCATTTACGTTTTATGAAATGGTGATTGCACTTGCTCGTATCAAAGAGAATATCGTTTCTCATTTACAGTCTTTTGATTGCTATAGGTCCAGCGGATTAAGTGCAGTTACTGATCGATCAGTTTCGATCTTCTCTTCAGTGTTCACTCCGTAATTTGGCGGTTTCCAATAGTAACCCCGTGATCGATTTTAGGCATAAATATTATAACTACTCATAAGTAACGTGATGTGTAAAAATCAGAAGGCTCTTATAAACATCAGTATAAATCCATTTATGAACAATATAACATCACGTAAATATAACCACAAGAGCATCACATGATTCGAGAGGGATACAATTGTCTATGGTGACCCAAAAATATTTCCCGAGCAGTGTAAAATGCTCCATATGAAAAATCGAATCACATTCGATATTGGATCTCATCGAATTTGTCTCATACATCCTCCGACGGATCCGTACACTTTCTTCAATCGGCGCTTCAGTCTGCTCCAGAAAGACTCCACATTATTAGTATGAACGCCGGCTGCACGATGTCAAAAGCCGTTAGCAAGGTTGGCCCACTCCTATTGATGTGCGTCTTTTGCACTTCGTGCATCGAAAAGTACCTGTTAATGCAAGCTTGCATCTCCTGGAAATTCCTAACGTGAACGCAAACGCTGATTTTTTTCCTTTTTTTAAAGAGACGACCAGCCCCCCAGAATGCTTTCAAGGTCACAATTTTAAACAGATATGCCTCAGATCCACCTTTATCTAAGATTGGCATAGTGCAACTAAAAGCACTTGAATTATTTGCAAAAATCATTCAATTTACTATTATTTCATGGTAATGTTCAACTACAAGAATACAGGGGGTTACTATTGGAAACCTCCGCCCGTAATTTATCCTTTTTGCGTCTGACACAGTTTGCTCAGGTTATTCGGATATTGGGCGTGAAAGTGGTTTCGTCGGTCTTACCATTACCAAAATTTTCTTGTTCTTTTCAACACCTTTTTAGGCATGCCCTATCAATTTATCGAACGCTTTAATCCCAATCAACCCCTGGTGGCCGGCGGCATCCCGAGTGCGGAGGAATCAAATGGCTTCATACAAATCCGTTTTCGAACACATCGATGGCTCAAGCACGTGCTCCGTTCAAACGATCCCGCCACTGTTTCGATTGGTTGGCGCCGTTATCAAACTGTGTGCGTATTTTCCAAAGAAGAGCATAATTTACGCAACCGGTATCTAAAATATTCGCTTCCACACGAACACTGTTTGGCAACTTTGTATGGTCCATTAGTCCCGGCCAAGACCGGTGTAGTGTTCTTTGTGAACTCCGCTTGGCGTCCACCTAGTGATACCACAGAAGGTCGATCCAGCTTTCGAGTGGCAGGCACTGGGAGCGTGGTTTCCACGAATCAATCATTTCAAATAATGAAAAAGTTGAAATTAATTGGTGAACCGTACAAAATCTTCTCTAAGACAGCATTCGTTCGTGGCATGTTTAATAGTCCCCTGGAAGTGAGCAAGATGGTGGGCGCTCGAATACAGACTGTTTCCAATATCCGGGGTAAGTTTGTCTCAGTTAGTGTCTTTGTTTATTCGTAATAGATAATTCGATTTTTTTTATTTGCACACTTTAATGTGATGAACTGCAGACGGGGTAAACCCCATAGTCACAAGGATCTGCTGTTCATTGATAGAAGCTCGTAACCTAAGCCCCGGGACTTGGAGTGGCGAACCACATAATGCCGCGATAAGTTGGGTGTGGTATTGAACCGGACGACAGAATAGCTGTCTACCGCCACCAACATTACCAAAATTACAAAGAACTCTAATTATGATTAGATTAAGTACTTCGGTTTGCGCAGGGCCTGTGCTATAAGTCATTTTAGCTTAAAAACTATTTTATCCCCAAAAGTGTCAGAAGCAGATGCTGCGAAACGGTAAATGAACCTATGCACAATATATCAACTAAAGACCGACCTCCCGAAAATACACCGACTATTTTTACGAAGTCGTGTGTAAATCAAGAGGTGACATAGCTTGCCAAAATCAGTGTCTTTCTGCACACGTTTGGCGAACAGTATTCATAATTTTTTTGGCTGCTCGGCCCATTATTTCGAACATTTTTCGTTTGGTTCATGTGCTCGGTAAGAATTGAACCTGCTCATAAAGCTTATCAAACTAAACCCTTACATGTTCATTAGAACTCATTTCAAATTATGGCCTAAGGATGATCCGCTACAGCAGGAGTAGTTAGGCAGGGTTCTGAATGATAACTGAGGGTGATGCTGAGCTGAATTGCATCTTGATTTCCATTTGATTGCATGAAATAACTGAGTTATAAACGGAATAATCAGGTTTCGCTCTGTCCGATTTTCTAGAGCATGCATCCGTTGACCTCCCGAAAATGCATCGACTGCTTTTACGGAGTCGTGTGTAAATCAAGAGGTGACATTGCTTGCTAACATAAATGTCCTTCTGTATACGGTTGGCGCACGGTATTTAGAACTTCTTTCTTGGTGGGTAATAATGTTTGTTCTCTTACTTTCTTGATGCAAAATAGATTAAAGATGTTTCTAATCGGAAAGTGTCAAGGCCACTGGATTTGTCATTTCTTTATCAATAACCTCGGTTGAGTTGTTTCACCGCAGTTGAGTTGTATGGTTGGACAAGAGTTTAATCTGTACGTTATTCTGTTCTCTGCCAAAAATGCTCCTGTTATTTGTACCTGGCCTAATCAGGATACCGGTATCAGGGTGCCCCATCGCATGTAAATGCAGGTAAATGCGGTCGCCCACTGGAGCAAATGGTCAACCTCCATAGATTACGTTGCTTGAGGCATGTGTTACGCATGTCACCAGATAGATTGCCACGGCGAGCGATGTTTGCCGAGGCAGGTAATGGTTTGAAAAAAGCCAAGGGTGATCAAGCCTAGACCCGGCATGAAGGTATGAAAACCCTAACCAAGAGTCTGGGTCACATAGGTCCCGTTATGCGCCTCTGCTGGGGACCTCGAGGTGATCGTAACCGGTGGTTAGAGACACAGTGATGTGATTGAGTGTCGTAAACAGTGACTTACGTGCATTTTCTCAATTTCTTTGCAGCCATAGCTTACTGGATTTCTCAATTTTCTCTTTTCGACTCTATCTTCAACTTTTCTGTCTTTCTCTTATTCTTCCTTCAAATGGGCAGCCTAAGGACAGCAACCAATACCGGCGCACGATAGTGCGTGGTTAATGGTTGTACAAACTGAAGTGAACTGCCAATTTCAGGAACAGTCAGCCTTGCAGTAGTTGGTATAAACGTCATTTTGGTAGTTTAACTTCGTTCAAGCTTGGTTCTGATGAGTTTGACAAGCGCATATTCGAATAAATAGCTTGTTTTTTGCACATGCAATAAGTACCCGTACGTTCGAAACCTTTCCTGTTATCTCATTGTATGACTTATCTCCAATGCTTCTTACCATGTGTACTACTCATTGCTTTGTTCAACTAGTTGATCATATATGTTCGTAATCTACAGGACTTATCAAAGCGGCTCTGACGAACCCATCGGTTTCTCAACCGGGTGATTTCCGCGCCACATTTGAAGCTCCTATTCGCAAATCAGATCTAGTGTTCCTCAGAACTTTCGTCGCCGTAGAGTTACCCAAATACTGCAACCCCGTGCCTAATCGCCTTTGTCCAATCGACGGTGATGGAGACACACAAGGCCAAGGTTGGCGCTTATTGCGTACCCTTACTGAACTGCGGCGTGAGAAGGGCATAAAGGCACCGTCCAACTCCGATTCCGTGTATAAGGTGAGTTCGGATCCAGCCATTAGCTTAACAATGTCCGACAGATATCCTACTGTGACTTCTTCCATTTTTTCTTTACACGTTTGTGTGATAAGTAGCATGCGGGGTTGGCCCAATAGTCGCGAAAATCTGCTGTTCAGCGATAGAAACCAGCAGCCTAAAACATGGGACTTGGGGTAGCGAACTAAATAAGGCGTGTTATTGAACCAAACGGCAGCAACGCTACCTGCCACCAAATTTCGGTGGTGATGACTCGGTTTGAATCTCGGACCTCAGGGTCCTAATCACACCGGTGACAGCGACTTAACCACCATACCACCACTACTTAGAACTGTCCTGGTAGTTGGGTTTAACGTGGTGAGCACTTATAATGAGCTAATTGTCCTTTTCGAACCAATATGTGAATATATGTATATATATAAATTTATTCCATTTAATTTTTCAAAAATCGACGCGTGCATGCAGTGGGGTCAAACTAGTTCTTTTAAAAACGTTTTTCCCGTTTTCATGTGATTGTAGTTTATCTACTTCTTAGTGAAGACCTTTATATGTACCATCGACCTCACATACTCAGTCATCGAATTATGGCTAAGCGAATCTAGTTACTGGGCAATTAATAATCCAGTATATACTTATGCGAAAATACCAACATTTCCCTCAACCGAACAAACAGTACCAAATTTAGGTGACAGTTAGTATGTAATCAGTTATTCAACAGCGTAAGTGTTTAGCTTCCACGGATTGCGGTGTTTTAGATGTATTACGCATATCAGCGTATAGTTTTCCTCTACGTACTGTGTTTGCCACAGTTTGTGGTGAGCTGAAGGAGGCTTATTTTGGTCCAACCATGGCCTATTACAAAGCCAGGTAAACTGTGACCAGGGGACTTTTTAAGAATAGTTGGTCTCTCAGGTTTGGAAACTCGTGACCATCTTACGGGTGAGACACTGGGTGACATAACTGGACGCGTTAAACAATGGTCTTCCTGCATCTGTTTACTGTGTACTCATATAGTTCACCCATTTTCTTCAGCTTGTTTTTGCCACGTCATTCGTTATCGGTCAATCGAATGGGTAGCTGAACGCGTCTAAGAAAGTACAAGGTTATTCAAGGGGATTTGAACTGAGGGGAACATTTCGGAATTTTGGGGTGAACCCAGGCATCAGGCACTGCGTATGACATTCTCAAATCTTGAACATGCCATTCTTCGTTCAATAACTGAAGCGCCTTAAAATGTTTCTGTGCTCAAATCCGAAAATGTTACCTTACATTTTCACAGTTGATGTGAGATGAATTCCATTCACCTCTCTCTCTCGGATTTACAAGAGGCGGAGCGCTGTTATTCTAGTCCGGTCGCGTGAAGAAATTGCTCTAATTCGTCCCATATCGGATGGCTATCCATTGGCCATATACTCACTCACTCTTCTGTAATAAAAAATGAAGCGGTAGAGACGATTAGCGTGATTAAGTATTGCTTAAATAAATGATGAATAAAAAGCAGTAACTTCAAGGATTTCAATGATCAGTGTCATAATAGACCATACACTGTGCGTTATTGCGGGAAACATGTGCGTGCTGCTATGTGCTTCTTTTGGTCTTTACGCAACTCTTTTTACGATGATGCCACTATCTGTGCTCTATATATCGCACCTTCATTTACTAGGCACTAGTTTAATAGTTCTTTCTAACACATGCGCATATTGCGGAAACTAATCTTGTTATCACTGTTCCACTTATGGGTTTTACTCTTTGATCCTCTCCTTTCCTTCTTTCAGGATATTCATCGCCCCGTGCATGTCCCTACTCCGCTATACGTATCGACTAAACTAGTCGCACAGTTGCCTTTTGCACAGAAGCCAAAACCCACACGTCGTGAGGCTCGTGCTATGGTGGGCGGTGATCCAGTTCGTGCAGCCCTGTTCACCGAGTTGCCGGCACCTGTTCGGTCAGTCAGTGATCATCCAGAAGGCGAAACGCGCGCGGATCTGCTCGATCGTTTGCGCCAGTTGCACGCGGACTTCAAAGAACGACAACGGAAGAAAATGGCACAGAGAGTAGGCAAACACAAGAAACAAATTAGCAAAGCAGAAGCTCAAAAAGCGGCCAATTTACGAAAGAAAAGAAAAGATTATTTTGCAAAACATGGGAAGAAAGCAGATAAAAATAAATCAGACTGATCACATCTTTGTACATTTGGTTTCCCTACCCCCTTCGGTTGTATCGCGTATACAGTGTATAGTGCTTTCCATCCTGTCCCAACAGACTGATGGCCCCCGAGAAGCTCGTGATTAATACCCGAACTGAATGATTAGTTCTCGTTCTGAATTTCTGATTCACTTCGTCCTCATGCTGCACAAACACCTCACCAGATCGGTAACTGTACAGTGACCGTCTGGAATAATGAAGGCAAAAATATTCCCGTCTCCTCCTAGTGAGTATTTAGTATACCGCGATTGATTCAACTGGACCTAACACTTTCAGCCATAGGATCAAATTAACTGGAACTGTAAGTGCTTCAGGCAAATCGTATTTCCATGAAACCTTGGCCTAATTGGTGCAGATTAAGTAGGAAGGTGAGCACACAACGAATTAAGCAGTAAGTTTATTGTAAACCGCAAACGTGTAGCCGGGGAACAAGCAGGACGAACAACTTGTAGGAAGACTGGCACGCAGTCCGACATCGGCTCACAAGTCGCACTACATGCGAATGCCGTTAAGCCAGCATTGAAAGAGTCAGTCAGTCGATCAATCAATTTGGCCACAGGTATTTATGGATACAAATCAGTCAGTTGTAGGCCACAACATCCGGGAAAATGTTTCTTCGTCTCCGTGATCGTTGCGAACTGCATCTGTTCATATTCAGTTATTTCAAACTAGATTCTCTCGTGAGGGCAGCAATTTTTGTTCTATGGGCATTTAATTAGGTGGTCCCATAACGGAGTTATGGTTTTTCAATAAGATCTTCAGCAACCAATCTTTGTTGCATCGTGGACAGGAGCACAATGGAATGTAAGACCAAATTGTCGCCTCGACCTTGCACCTCTTCCTTAGATTATGTTCTGTAACTTCAATTCCACTGGTCCTTTACTTTCATTCCGTGAAAATCTTCGACCCGCGCGGTTGAGATTTTCCAGCCGACTGAAGTTGTGTGAAATTTCACTTTCGACGGCTCTGAGAGGCGTGTGTGCTGCAGGCATGCCTTGCCAAAGAATACTAGATATCATATCTACTGGGTCTTAGGTGTAGAATGTTTGATGATGGCAAGTTTAAGATACCTGGTGGTGATCAAGTTATTATTGATAGACTTGCTCCGGTCACAGATTTCGACGCTGTCACCGGTGTTGGATGCCTCATTGTTATCCATCTAAAAACCATTTCGATTTTAAGGGCTCTATATTATTCGTCACGTCTAGTTTAGCTTTTTTGTGATGACAACTCATTAAACTCATTCCGGTGTTTTCTATAGTTTGCTCCTACAGGGATTTCGGAAATTAACCTACGTGCATAAAGAAATTCATATGGATTGAATGATCAATTTTTGGGTTTACAATATGTCTTGTAATATGAGGGTGTTCTGTGCCCGAAATACAGTTTTTCCCGTGCTTGCTCGGTCTGCGCTCATGGTGTTCAGCGTTGGTCGCTGCTAGGCGGGGAGCGCTCGAAGTAGCGATACGTAATATAGATGATCTTGTTTAATTTCGCTTCTGCCCATTGACACAGACACTGACTCAGTTTTCAATCCCGGCTTATTCTGCTCCGTGATCTTTGGAACCGACAACTCTTTGCCAGCGTGCATGGTCTAGGTTACTCCACATCGGCGTTCGAAGGGCTACAGAAAGCACTCTTTCTGATCATATAAAAGTGCTCCCTGATTGCTGGAGCGTCCGTTTGTAGCAATCAATAATAAGATGAAAATGGACGATCGAAGGCTGAATAACCACTAAAAAGACCTTGGTAACAGCTTGAGAGACTCTGTCATCGGAACACAAATAACGGGATGAAAGAGTTCTATACGCATTTGCTCCAATACTTTAGTACAGGCCTTTGAATATTCCCACCGACTTCTCGATCGATTTCTATGGATGCTTAAGCAAACCGGTTCGTCCAAACTTTCGAAGTTTGTTGAACCGCTTAAGTACTTCAAGATACTTCTTGCATGAAGTATGGTGTAGGGATTCATGTCACTGGAGTTGGCCTTTGTGACTCAGTGATGCAGCTCTGCATTTGGGTACTCTATGTTGGTAACAGCTGCAGGGAATGCCTTATGGTGAGGGAATGGTTCCTTAGGTTTTTTTCAACATTTTTCGGGGTTCAGCAAGATTGTATTGTTTGCAATCGGAGAAATGTCTGAGGGGTTGTTCCTAAAAAAAATGGATGAAACTGGAAACTGCGGGGGTGTTAGGGTCAAAATACTGAACTGCCGTAGTACGTTATCGAATAAATCCGTCGATCCGGCCAAAGTGGGTCCTGAGGCGGCTATACATTTCCAACTTCAAATGAATCCACCAGTCGCATTCTACTGGCAACCCCACAAAATGATCTGTATTAAGCTTGTCATCCGTTGTATATTGACTTGGGGCTATCCAGATGTCCATGCAATCTAAACCGAAACAAACAAGAGTACTTTTCGAGTGAGCTACCGAGCGAGAATGAAAGCTTTGGTTGGGTGGGATCTTTTCCGGGGAACTCAGCCCTCTGCCGCTGATCGAAGGAGCTTCAGACAACAACGAATGAACCCGGCGGTTACTGACATTGGTCAGTGGGTGTTATCATCGTCACCATTGTACAGCGTAATACAGTAAAGCTAACTTCACTGATCGTTAGCCATCTCATAATGCATACAAGGCAAAGTGAGGAGGATAGGGATTGGAACTATTTTTAGGGACGGGAAAAGAGAGCGGAACCTCGATAGTCAACACAGTAAATAATTCAACTGAGCATACATACTATTTCAAGCATTCTGGTCTGATAAGAAGTGACAGCGAGATTGCCACTGCTGTCGGTTTGCAACCATGCGGTTTCGGAGTCTTTTGAACCCCAACCCGGTAGACGAGAGATATCTACTCTACCTAATCGCTCTCTGCATTTTTTATGCCTCGTCTCCACGTCATCTGCTGGCCTCCACGTGGCTTTCTCCAACCTGTAATAGCCACTGCGCGCTGTGGTAGGCGACCGTCGGACATACGCAAAACGTATCCTAACCAACGGAGGCTACTGAGCTGGATTCGATGCGATGGTGAGTTCTTGTTTGATTTCCGATCACTCGACGACTTACTTCTAACTTACTAACCCGCTCACTCCATCCCACTTGGGCCAGACTACGTATGCATCGATTGTCGAACACTGCTAAACGACGGGTGTCTTTTACTCGTAAATTCAAGGTCTCAACCGTAAAGTAGAACTGATCGTACGGTGGCGCAGTATACGCGACTTCTCAACTTTAGTGACAAGTCGCGTTGCCGCCATAGGTGTTTTAGTCATGCGTACACTGCTCGAGCCCTGGAAATGCGGGCGGTTATCTCCTTTGATGCGCAACCGTCGCTGGTCACACAGCTACCTGAGTACGAGAAGCAGTCAACTTCAGCTAATTCCTGACCGTCTAGATTCGGAACAGAACTCGGTGACACCCAGTCTTCTAGCATTACTTTGC